ATGGGCTGGGGCCTGGGCTGGCGGTTCAGATGCTCTTTGGAAAGCAGTGGGCAGCTTTTCCATTGGACTCTGAGAAGGAGGAGGAGGGATGTCCTTACAGAAAAATGCCCCACTCTATAACAGATGGGCAGAGCTGGGATCCCCAAGGGGCCTGGTTCCAGCGGGCATCCTGCACATTGCTATTCTGAGGACAGCCACCTGCCTGTGGCTGTCATATAAATGCCAGGGGGTTCCTAGTATGAGGGCGGCTTGCCTCTTCCCTGTGCAACTGTTTCCAGTTTCACTTCCCTGGGGATTTAAAACTAGAATGATAGAGTCCCCAGAGGGCCTTGACTGGAGAAAGTCAAGTGGCATTGTTTCAGTTTTCTCTTCCTTAAGCCCTTCTGGTTCATTCCTTTGATGCTGGAGCCTGGCTCCCCAGGGGCTGGGGTAGTGGCCCTTCCCAGCACGTGTGCCTATGTTCTGCATGTGTACCAACAACAACGGCAGCCTGGGCAGCTTGAACTTCTTCCCTCAGGGCTCTGGAGCTGGAAGTTCAAGGTGTGGGCCAGGAGATTTCTCCCTGGCTCATAGACTGTGTTGTCTCCCTGGATCCTCACAAGGACGCCCTTTGTGCTTGTCAGTGTCAAAATATGTTCCTAGATTTTGAGATCCGGTGCTGTTGGATGTGGGCCACTCTGGCCGCCTCCTCATGTGTATTTAGGTAACTCTTGAAGGACCTTGTCTCCAAACAGTCATAGTCTCAGGCTCTGAGAGTTAGGGCTTCAGGAGACAGATCTGGGATGGAGCCTGGTTCAGTCTGTAACTGCCTGAGGAGGGAGGAAGCTGGTGCAGAGCTGTGGGGGACCAGCCCCCACACTTATTTACCCCAGGGACGCTTGAGGAATGAGGGATAAGAGACTTAGTTAGAAATGGTGAGGAGAGAAACAGAGAAAACACAGGATAGACGCGGGTGGGCCTGGATCCTTATCCACCGGCCCAGAACTTTATTCCAAAGGTCTGTTTATAACAATGCCAAGGGGTGGAGCAAAAGACCGCCCCCTTGCTAGTTACAGTCACCTGGTACCCAGGCCCAGGGTCCAATCAGCCTCCCGTGCAGTCCTGCTGGGTCCAGCCACGAGGAAACCTAGTGGGCTCCAACAGAGCCAGACCTTGGGTTCTAGACCAGCACAAACCAGGGGCCCTGGCACTGAGGGGACAAGTGAGAGATCTGCCAGGGTGTGGTGTGCTAGCCTTCTTCTGGACACTAATCCGTGAGGTCTCCTGCTTCAGAATCAGAGGTTTCAAGAGGCGAGGCCTTATCCAGCCTGGTCTACACCAGACCCAGTTTCAAAAAAATGTAAGTGATAGAGACAACTTTAATAATACAGAGAACTGTGGAGCAGAGGCAGGCTGGAGAGGTGGCTCAGTGGTTAAGAGCGCTTGCTGCTCTTGCAGAGGACCCGGGTTTGGTTCCTAGCACCCACCTGGCAGACCATAGCTGCCTGGAACTCCAATTCTGAAGGATATGACACCCTCTTCTGGCCTCCATGTGATATACATGCATATCTGCAGGCAACACACTCGTATCCATGAAATAAATAAATCTGTAAAACATAAAGCTTAAAAGCATTATTAGGCCAGAATTGAAGCAGAGATGGTGCTTTGTCGGGGTAGATGGGAAGCTGTGTGTTCAGCCGAGAGGTTGACCAGGAGAATGGATCAGAAAGAATGGTGAATATCCAAGCATCATGGCAACACCAGTGCTTCGTGGAGCAAAGAAGTCCCTTAGTCATGGCCTGGTGAAGTTACAGTCTGTTTCTTCAGATAGGGTCTCACTATGTAGCCCAGGCTGGCTTCAGACTCCTGGCAATCCCCCTGCTTCAGCCTGTCTAGTACTGGCATCACAGGCCTAGCTTTCACTTTCCTCTTAGATGTTACAGAAAATGAAGGTTATGAGGCTGCCTTGCGGGATGGTATCTTCTTAACTCCTGAGCGTAGCTGCTCTGGCATAGCGGGGCTCCCCGAAAGCAACCCTGGGGAGTCCATTGGCTGTATGGCCTTGATCTATACGCGGTATAGAAATGTAAATACATGTTTGTGCTTGTGTGTCTTTTAAAATTACACTTATTTATTTTTGAGGGGCGGGCACGAATGCACCCTGGCACACATGTGGAGGTCAGAGGACAACTTGTGGGAGTCAGTCTGTCCTTCCACCACGTGGGTCCCAGGGGTGGAACTCAGGTCACCAGGCTGAGTGGCAAGTGCCTTTATCCACTAAGCTGTCCCAGCAGCCCCAGGTACTGTATACTTCAGTCTCACTTACAGGCTGTTGTTGTGGCTGTCCTCTGAGCCCACTTATCCCAGCCGGCCCTGATGGCTGTTCCCTCGTGAGGAGGTAGAGAGGTCACAAGACGCTCACCTGAGTGTCCAGCCGCTTCCTGCCACCTGTTGTACGCACCTCTGACTGACTTACACATGTCCTTGGGGAGGGCCTAGAATATGTAGGCTCAGAGGATAGAGGAAGACTAAGGGGCAGGGGCTAGGACATTTGGCCCAGAGTATAAAGGAAGACTCAAGGGTCGGGGGCTTTCTGTCTAGATGGCCCTGGGGAAGTCCTCATCCCTACTGGCTAAAGGAAAGGCTTTATGATGCGGCCTTTTTGTAAGGAGCACCCACACCCCTCTAAGTAACCCCTCACCTATGACCTGTAAGGAAGCCCTGAAAATTCATTCGGCTCTCCAGAGGGAACTTTGGCAGAATCATTTCTCAGTTTGGGACCCCCCCCCAACCCCCGCCCCAAGGGATTTCAGCTAGAGCTGAATGCTTCACTCCCTTCTATCAGTGGTATGTATGATGAATGTATGCATGTGTGTGCATACATGTGCACACACTATACACATCCACCTGCACTCTTCTGATGGACATTAAAACATTCCAGCAGGATAAGGTCCCGCCTCGGCGCCAGGTTGGCCTCCGGAGTGTCTGCCTTCCATGTGCTGGGATTACAGGCATGCGCTGCCCTGCCTGCCTCTAATCACAGTCTTCACGGCTGCTGGCACATGTGTGGCTGCCTGGGCTTGTGTGAGCTGCATGAATGCTCATCTGGTTTTCCTCAGATGCTGCCATCATCACCCCCACCCTGTGAGAACGCATGCCGAAGCTAAGCGACCTGCCCAAGTGGCGACAGAGCGATAATTGGGACCCAACCCATTGCATCCAAGTCAAAGCTCCCAATCCTGTGTCACCTCCATAAGAGGTGCCCCTCTGATAAGTTGTTTTGGAAGGAGACTGGGCAGGGATTCTTGGAAAGGGGACTTGGGACTTGGGCCTAATTCCAGTTGTGTTGCAATGGGTGCATTCTCCAAATGGGGGAGCAG